TTTTCACAGCCTCCTACCTAGCTAATAAGTCTGCTGTGAAAAATAATATTTGCATGTTTATCATTTTTCTCAGCAAGCCCCAGGACAAACTAAGCCCTGGATGTGGGGTGGGTGGGAGGGAGGCAGCAGGGGCAATGGGGGGATGGATGCGGGGCCAGGGGAGGCAGCGGGAACTGGAGGTGATGGTGAGGAGGATGGTGAGCCCCACCGCTGTGCAGCTGGAGCCGGGGGTTGGAGCACGCAGCTGGGGCCAAGGGTCAGAGCCTGCTGCCACTGTGTGACCAGGGCTGGGGGTGAGAGCCCACTGCTGCCGTGTGGCGAGGGCCAAGGGTAGGTGTCCAATCACCCCAGGGCTGAAGCCTGAACCCCACTGTCCCTCCCGCCAAGGTGAGTCGAGAACTCACCTTGCCCCTGCTTGTGCCCCACCTGTCTCCAGAGGCAGTGCAGGACAGCATATCCAGGAGCAACAGGGAAAGAGGGGGAGGGGTCAATGCTTTGCTCCCTCCCACCATGTCTGCCTAGGAGGCTGTCATGGCTGCATGAAAAGCCCCTAGTAGCTGCATATGAGAAACGCTGTGCTAGTGTATCTTCTTATATCTCCCCTGCCTACTTTCCATGCTTCCCTTACATTTGGAATGCCATCCCCTTCACCACATTCAACTCCCTCCATAAATTTCACTTCTGTCATCCTGTGTGTGACAAATGAAAGGGTTCACAGGTAACAAAACAAGGAACCATCAAGATACGTATCTCACTACTGTCTTTCCTCACTTCTCTCTCAACTGTTTAGGTCCCTCCCTTGTTGTGTCATGGTAAGTTTTAGTTTATATGCTCTTTGGGGCAGGACTCATGTCAGTATTTGGTCTGTGAGGTTCCATACGCACTGTAGGAAATTCAAAAATAATTAATATTATTGTGCTTACAGACAATGACTTTCTCTTTATATTCATGTACCACTAGCTGTCAGCCAGCTATCTAAGGTTTTGAATTAGTATATGTTAACTTGGAGGCCTAGCTATACATGTACTAAATAATAAGATAATTTGATTATACCGCAACCTTAAATAACTATTCTTATCCCAAAAAAGGATCATGTCTCTCAACATCTATTTATTGCCATTCAGTGAAAATTCCCTTGATTATCCAAACTTATTCAGTGTCTCTTATGATCTTCAGATAATTAAGGCTGCACTATAATTAAATGTTCTTCACAGCTTCCAACCTTATGTAAGACTACATGCTGCACTCACCGCTGTCTGTTATATGATGAGCAGGAACAAAGATAGAGACTAAGGTTTCAGAAAGAACCTACTTTGGTGTGACACTAGGAGCTCAGGATGGAATGCAATCAAACTGGTGGCCAGACTTCCATTGAACAAACAATGGCCTTTATGTATGTTGAATAAAGATCTCTTCCATACAACTCTGTCTGCCTGCAACATTGTTTATTGCTAATGAAACACAGAGGTACTTTTGAAAATGAAGGAGAGGTAAACCCACTTCCTGAAATAAAGATTTCAGTCCCTCTTCCCCACCCACTGATGACCAAAACAAGGCAAGTTTCAGGCAGGCACTTTCACTGCAGCTGCTTGAAGGGGAAGAGAGAAGGAAGATATGTCAGTGAAAGAAACCTATGTGCCAGAAGTTAGAATCCCAAATCTAAGTCTAGTTTAAGGAAGGAGGTGGAGTTCAGAGCCCAAACCACAAAGTGGTTGTCTATACAACGTTTTTTCAGAGCGCTAGCATGAGCCCCACTATCCTGAGTCAGTTGATCTGAGCTGGGAGGCTTCCTTCCTCTCACTCCAAAATGGTGTGTAGACATACCTTGATAGGGACTCAGCCTAGGGTGGCCAGGTGCCTGGTTTTCAACAGGAACGTCTGGTTGAAAAGGGGACCTGACAGTGTCTGGTCAGATCTACTGACCGGACACCCAATGTCCGGTTACTCTGGGTTGGGGAGGCACCAGGTGATCACATGTGCCAGCCTCTACTCAGCTGGAGCTGCCTCCTACCTGTGTAGGTGGCTGCAGCTCCCAGCCCTAACTCTGCAGGCACGTCCCTTCTGACCGGGGTGGAAGGGGAAAAGCAGTGAGCAACAGGGCAGAGGGGGAAAGAGGAGTGGATGGGGCGGGGCCTTGTGGGGAAAGGGTGGAGCTTCAAGGGAAGAGGTGGGGCAGGGACTGGGATTTGGGAGAATAGGCAGAGTAGGGGTTGGGCCTCAGGGGAAAGAGTTGGGACAGGGGAAGTTCTGGCACTCCTGCTGGAGTGTCCAGTTTTTAAATATTACCAAGTTGGCAACCCTAACTCAGCCTTCCAAAATTAGCTTTTCAGACTTAGCTCCCTCACAAACTCTTCAATAGTTTCACTTTCTTTTTGCACCCTGAGGTAAAAACACCTCTCATATATGTCATTTGTACCTGGAGTACAGTATGTCTCAAATTTTTGTAACAATTGTTTCATATTGGCCCCCTCTGCCTCAATTAACTGCAAACTGTCAAACACATCAAGTGCATTAGAACATACTATTCTCAGAAATAAGGCTACCTTCTAATTGTCTTCCTTTTCACTGGCACTAATTGCTAACAGGCACAGAATGAAGCATTGACTAAGTCTCCTAAAGTTGTCTCCCACATTTCCAGAGAGTTTCTGCTCTGGTGGAGCTTCTAGCTACTCTGTTGCTCCATTCAAGTTATTTTCTTTAATTTCAATTTATTCCTGGTAACGTGTAGTGTTCAGGAATTACTCTGGGTTAAGATGCTTGAAACAGACCTTATTCAAACACCAGTTCCAACTGCCTCTGCACAACAGAACATGGGCTTCTGTACCACCCCTTCCTAGATTTCCTGGGAAGCTTGCCCACTTAGATCCGTTCCCAATACCACAGCCCTCAGATATTGAGCAGGTAGGAGCTGAGTTTTTCTTCTTGTTTTCCCATCTCCTTTTAGAGAGCCTTAGTCCCACTTCCTACAACAAAACCTCCTTCCACAGATTCATTCTAACTAATGGCAGCTTTTGTGGTTCTCAGGACACAAAACCTTGCAGAACAGGCCACAGAATTTCACCCACCACTCCTGCAAAAAACCCTCTCACCTATGTCTGTGCTTTTGAAGTCCTCAAATCGTGGTTTAAAGACTTCAAGGAGCAGAGAATCCTCCAGCAAGTGACCCTTTCCCAGCTTCTGGCAAACAGAGGCTAGGGACACCCATCGTGGCTAATCATCATTGATGGACCAATAAACTTATCTAGTTCGTTTTTGAACCCTGTTATAGCCTTGGCCTTCACAACATCCTCTGGCAAAGAGTTCCACAGACTGAGTGCGCACTGGGTGAAAAAATACTGTTTTAAACCCGCTGCCTACTAATTTCATTTGGTGACCCCAAGTTCTTGTGTTATGAGAAGGAGTAAATGAAACTTCCTTATTTACTTCACACCAGTCATGATTTTATAGACTCAATCATATCCCCTCTTAGTTTTCTCTTTTCCAAGCTGAAAAGTCCCAGTCTTATTAATCTCTCCTCCTATGGAAGCCGTTCCACATGTAGTTACATAGGCTGGCAAGTACACAACTGATGAATCAGATTCAGTTACATTTTACTTATTTTTAAATATATTGAAAGGAGATGTCTGAACTCTTCCTAGGCTATCCGGAGTTGAAGATACATGGTACTCAAATGGTAATTTCCAATAGATTTGCAATTGGGTCTCAGAATTTACCTATATCCTTGATGTGTAATCGCTCCATACTGGCCAACATATAAAGGTTTGTCAAAATTGCAGGGCTTTGGAGCAGAGCCCAGAGCTGGAGTGCGGAGCAGCTCTGGAGCAGTGGAGCTGCAGGTTTTTGCCTGGAGCTGGAGCGGAGCCGGAGCACAGCTCCAAAACCCTGCAGAATAGTATTAATTTACAAATAATATCTCTATAGAAACATCTTATTTACACTTCTTGGACTGTCTACTACACTAGTATTTATACACAAGCTGTATCTAGACTATTTACCCAGTGCAATTCAGATAGAAAAATTAGGCTGTGCTGTTTAAAGGATGGTAGTTCTAAAACTTTGTAGGAAGACACACAAATGTAGTATATCTTATTAAGTGGCTGCAGCTTTCAGAGGATAAAAACCTTAATGTTCTTAAACATGGAAGTACAACAGGATATAGAACATATACTAATTTTAATAAGCTTAAAAATGGCACTAACAAGTGGCTTCTCTCACCTTTTGTTTAATAAAAGCCCATTTCTCATATGCTGCTGGATTGTTTCCCACCCTCAAACTTGTCCAGAGCTGCAAATGTTTCATGTCAATACACTTTGTATTTTAATGACTTAATTTTTCTGTTTATATATTTTTTAAAACCCCAGTACCCGAAGAGATTTATGTGAAGGAGATGTCAATGTGATCCACTTGTGCCTGCTGGTTTGACACACGTGCTATGGGGTTGGAGCTCTCCCTGCATGCACTCTGTTTTAAGTAGGAAGTCTTACTTTTCATTTCAGTTGCGGTTTGCAGTATTCTTGGAGCAGTGTTGGTCCCAGGATATTAGAGAGACCAGGTGGGTGAGGGAATGTCCTTTATTGGACCAGCTTCTAGTGAGAGAGACAGAAGCTTTCCAGCCATACTGGTCTCTTCTTAGCTGGAAAGCTTGTGTCTCTCTCACTAGAAGCTGGTCGAATAAAGGATATTCCCTCACCCGGCTGTCCAAAGTGCTGTCAAATGCACGCAGGAAGCAAAGAGGAAACAGAGAATTTTCCTGCACTAGCAGGGCCGACCCCAAGTGAGTTAATCTGACTTTACCAAGGAGGCATAACTCACTGTGGGAGAGGCATGTTCTGCGAACAGCTTTGGCTCCCTCGGGAGGCGCAGCAGCCTGCAGTTGCCTCCAGGCCCGCTAGAGGCCGCGGCGCCCCGCTATCCTGCCTGGTCCCTGTGTCACATGAAACTCACATTTATTTCAGCGAGTCTTCACACGACCCTCCCCGGCAGGGGGTGAGCGGGCGCCTTTCAGGAGCCGGGGTTAGCCGCGGCTGGTGGGCTGAGGCAGGGCTCAGTGGTGGCTCGGGGCGGCGGCGGGGAGCCCAGTTAGGATCCCGCGGGCGGGGCTGGCCGCCTGCACCGGTGGGCGGGTGCGCGGGGCCCGGCTGCGAGCGCCCCCGGGGGCATGTAAGCGCTCCGCGGCAGGAGCCCCGGGAGGGCAGCCCTGGCCGGCTGCGTGCGTGTCTGGCCGGCGGGGGCCCCGGGAGGAAGCTCCGCTGACACGTCAGGGAAGAAGCATTTAACCCCTGCAGCGGGCTCCAGGAAAAAGGAAGAGAAAGTGCAAAGTGGCGGAGGCTCGCTCAGCCCGGCGCCGGGCTCTGGGGTAGGTGCGGCCGCGGAGGAGCCGGGCTGGGGGTCGGGGCAGCTAGAGGGCTTGTGATCTAGCCGCACGTGGCCGCAGAACTGAAGCTGGGGGGACCGTAGGCTGCTGCTAGGGCTCTGCTCGGTGCGGCGCTAACCTGGGGAAACGCGGGCCTTGCACCCCGCTCGTTTGTACTTAGAAATAAGTAGGCTTTAAAAAAATCCTGCCTCCCTCTTCCGCAGGAAGCCTGAGCTGCTCGGGTGCACATAACGCTCGCGTCGGGGGGCTCCGAACTTGCTCAGGGTTCCGGTAGGAAAAAGCGCTGTCTCGATTATTTAATCCTGGAAAGGGACTATTGCGAGGAAGTTACCCGGTAGAAACGCCCTGTACAGGCGCGTGGAAGGTATCCTGGTCTGTCACCAGCGCTGGAAAGCGTGCGGCGGTACCCTGTGCTCAACTTCACATTTCCGGCTTTGAATTATTTAGAGGAGTTGAAGTGACTGGTCAGATCAACTTGTCTTCAGGTTCCTCGCGTGTCTGCCCATGTTGGTTACAAAAGAAATAACTTGATGGGTGAGGGGAGGGAATAACGAGGAGAAAATCTCAGGGCAAGATCATTTTTCTCCAGAGCATAAGCATAAGGCTCTACCCTTCTGTTCTTACTCGTCAATGTCCTGTCTCTTTGGAACAGTTAATCTGTTTGTGTCTTTTAAAGGGGCACAGCTTCAGGAAAGGTAGGCTTTGTTTTGTTACCTGCACTTCTATTACAATTCTTTTGCAGTCTGTGAATGCACTTTAGTAACGTTCTCCTGCAGTGTTTGTAATCTAAAGGCTGAAGCACTTTTGCATGAGAGAAAGCTGATTAAAAGTGAAAGAGAAATGCAAAAAGTAAATTACAGTGAAAAGTAAGAGTATGCTTCTAAAATCCATTCAGTTTTAATGAGTCAACAAAAGCATTTTTGTTTAATTAATAACATTTTAGTAAACCCGACAGTCTCTTAAGGGCCTGATCCTATTCTTATAGCCAGTGAGTGTTCTGTCATTGACTTAAATATAAGGTGACTGCTGGCTGTGATATGGGGTCTGTTGGACCTTCCTGTACTAGGTTGGAATGAAATCTTTCTAAAAGTTTATTATCAGGCTCAGTTTTACCTAACCCTTGTGTCTCAGAATAGTGAATTGAATTGTAATAAAAAAAATGATTCACATAGTATGGTTAAAAAAAGAGACTCATTTTAAAGGAGACTGTCAACCGTAACAAAACTCATCAACAGGAAAACAATCTATTTTCTTTTAAACAGTTTGTCCTGAATTGTTAAATCCCTTAACAATCTCTAAATAGTAGGACTGTGGACAAGAAACTTAATGGGAGCAAGGAACGTTGTCAGCTTGTTTGGGGAGAGGGAAGGAAAGTTTACTCCCCCTGAAACATACCTGCTATTTTTACAAAAAACACCTAAAATTACACTAACCCAAATAAGTTAATGAGCAGAAAAAATTCTGTTTCCTCTTTGCTTACTATGTGCATTTGACAGCACTTTGGCCCCAATCTTGTAATCAGATCCATCTAGGCAGTCTTGCACTCACATAGATTCAATGGCAGGATCAAGGTTTGTATATGGAAGTTTCAGTTCCCTCTCCTCCTCTGTGTAGTCTGTTAGCAAGGGAGAAACTGAAAATATCTTTATAAAAGGATCTGATTACAAGAGTGGGGCCCAAGTGCTGTCAAATGCACAGAGTAAACAAAGAGAAAAAATGGAGAAATTTTCTGCTCATTAACTTCTTTCAGTTAGTGTAATTTTAGCTGTTTTTTGTAATAATGATAGGTACATTTCAGGGAGAGTAAACTTTCCTTTCCTCCCTCCAAACCCAAGCTGACAGTTTCCCTTGCTCTCTTTAAGGTTGTTGACCTACTATTTGTGTACCTCAATGGATCTTCGTCCCATATGTCCAATGTTTAGCTTGGCTGGTTGGGAGGTTTTTGAGGTGTGAATTGCAACTGTAGACAACCCCAGTGTTATGATTCCACTACATGATCCTGAATAAATATTGGCGCCTGGTGAAAGCAACAGACATTTGGGAGGTAGGGAGGGAGTGACTAAACTCAGGGCAATTGAGAGAGACTGAGTAAGGCTTTCCTCAAAGCCTTAAGTGAATAGTGGCCCTTACCTTGCTTTCTTTACCTTCCCTCTGAAAGACACTAAGCAAGTTAATACAATAGGGGGCTGTATTACCTTTCTCAGGTAACCACAGGGCTAGAGGGAGAAGGATTTGCATCCCTTTGACTCTCTACATCTCCTTATCCCCCTGGAGACCTCTGCTGCACCAGGTTGGGGAGGACTGGAGACAAGACAGTACTACAGCGGTGGCTAAGCCTCCCTTCTGCACAGAAGGAGAAATCCACAACCAGGGCGTTCACTTCTGTGCAGATGTGGTGGGAAACAATATTCATCTCAGAGGCTTAGATTGTTCAGAAGTCAGGTGTGGGGAGTGGTGGTACTCTTCCAAGCTCCACCTACAAAACAAGCCTCACTCACTGCTCATAGCTGATATAGCAGCTATTCAAAATATGAGGAGCCCTGAACGTGCATAAGGTTCAGCTCCCCCTCAGTGGGGTCCAAATACATTCCTGGGCCCTGCTGAGCTTCTCACGCTTGGCTTCTCTTTGGTCCTTGACTGGACTCTGCTAGACTGCTTGGGTTTGACTCCTTGATTTTGGGGTGTATGTGGGAAAAGTGGGGGGTACTCACCCACACCCATTCCCTTGTGGAACCAAAATGATGTGTCGCTCATAGACTGTGCAGATCTTTGTAGTAAAATTCTCACACTCCTTTCTTACATGCTTTGATGAGCAGCTGAATAGCTAATGCTTTAAATGTCAACACTGTTATCGTTGGGCATCTGAGTTAGCCCCTAATGAGATGAATGAGGCTGTTCACCCATTTTCAAATTTTGCGAACAAAGGCAGACATCACTTTATCGATTACACTTAGTTCAAGTCTTTGAGGCTGTCTCAGCAACTATAACAGCTAGAGATTTATTTTTAAAAATGAATCTTAGATTCTGGAGAACAGGGTGGATTTGATTTAAATCATGATTTAAATCACTAGTCAGGAAGACTTGATTTAATCATGGATTTCTACATAAAAGTGCATTCTTGTTGGTTGTTATAACTACAATACATATTCTTCACAACTCAGAAATAGATGTAGGTTTCATTTTTAGAAAGTACACACTATACATTTTTAAGCGATTTATTTTGAAAACTTTTCAAATGAGTTTTACAGCTATATCAGAAAATGAATGATTGTTTGGTAATTGAAGGTAATTGAAGCAGATATTTATGAAGTCATTGGGAGGTGAACTATCTCCAGTTCAAATAGGTTAATCATTAATATTTGGAAGATTTCCTTGCTATGCTGTATTAGGAGGAGAACATCACCAGACATTCATTTAAAATTTTTATTTAACTAAAACAACATTATGTATTCTGGATTTATTTCTTCAACATCAAACATAATATTTTAACAAAACAAGCATATGAATTTTTGAATTTAGTTAAACATTCACATTTTTTAAAATCAGGTTTGTTTTTGTTAAAATTGTTTTAACTAAAATAGTTAAATGAAATATTTATTTAAAAACAAACATTAAATCGACTATCAGCCAGGAAACTTAAAATATTGGCTTCCGCAGCTAACTCAGTCGTCTTCACCTTCATTTTACCATTTGTTCATAATCTGGAAAAGAAAAACAAGTGTTCTTGCTTTTTCAGGTCCCAAACGGTTTCTCGATTTGGAATGAATTAGAATATTTTCTTCCTTTAGACTTTCTACACTGGCAGAAGAAGCTACTGCTGTTAAAAGTGAGATTATCAATTCAACAGTCTTTGAATCCAAGTGCTGAAGTGACTTCCACCAGTTCACTGGTGTGACTTTCTTTAAAACATCATCAGCAAACATATATTTCTTGAATGGTTCCTATTCCCAAACTGGGTCTCTTTTACAGCCTGCTACCATTATAGGTTTTCCCTTCTAGTGAGAGAATGGTATGGTAGATCTGAAGTCAATGAATGCTACACTCAAGACCTCAAGACTTCTGGAATATGTTGCTCAAACAGTTTTTCACTTTTGTTTCTACTACCTGTCCCTCCTTTCTCACATCTGTCTCCAGACTTCTCCTTGTCCAGATCTATTCCGCTCCCAACAATCTTCTATTCACTGAACTTTTTTAAACTTTTCACTTTTAGAGAGAGGTAAGGGCTTGACTCTGTGTACACAGATTTGCAGAGGGACAATAGGGTTGAGGTCTGTTATTTCTCACCTCTCTATATTTATTGATTTATTTACTTAAAACATTTTTGTTGCTAACAAGCATGTTATCTCTGGAGACACAAATCCACAGTTTGAGAACTGCAAAAATAAGCATCTCTGATGGTATCTTCCAGACTGAGTACTGAGTCCCATTGGGTAGGTAGAAAGATTAACCTAAATAATCTATACAGAATCCCCTGGAGATTGAGTCCCTAATCCATGAACTATTGGAACTCAATTACAAAACTTTTCTTAAACATTACATGAATATATTGTCTCATACAATAGAATTAGAATTTATAATCCCTATTCCATGATGAGATATCTTTGAGTTATAATGTATCTTAATTAAAACTATCTTTAGATAGGTTTTTTCCTCAAAAAGCATTTTATCAAAAAAATCCAATTTAAATAAAATAAAATCCAATTGTTTATTTTTTAAAATCATTGATTTTTATCCACCCTGCTGGAGAATAAGATGGCAACATGAAAGAGACATACCAGTGCATACTGGCTGAATCTGAGCCCTGATTTTTTCCCTCAGAATATTTAAGAATTCCATCAGTAATCAAAAGAAGTCTATTCCATACCTTAAGTTTTTCCTAAACCATCTGTCATTGTGGTATGTAAATGATGTACAAAAATTAAAGGGAGAAACTAATATCTTAATAGTAACATTCTCACTTCCTAACCTTTGTTCTCTGAATA